ACAAAAAATATTTTGTTTCATGTCCTCCATGTGCAAAATATTTAAAGGCTTAGCAACCTACAGCAAGCAACAACTGAGTACAAAGGTCGTAACTAGAAGAGATAATTGTTTGCTTTACTTCTTTATCTACTGTTCCATGTATTAGGAAAATAACTAAGAACTTATATCAAAATAGCAATAATCTATATACATATATATAATGTATAATAACTGAAATGTGACTGTATTTTACAAAATACTAGTCGACTAAAACACAACCAAGAAAAGTTACTTTGTACAGACCAAAGGTAACCTTTATGTTATTTGATACAGTAACATGAGTGCACGTGAGCCATGTCATTCTAATTTCTGTATTGTTAGCTGGACACGGGTGAAAGGACAATATTATAAATGTATAATGTTATGAGATTTAAGCTATTTTTGTTTTTGTGTTATAATTTGCATTCTAGAATGAAAGAAGCATAATTTATATTTATTTCCTAATTTTTTATGGTGGTTCCGAGATCGGACAAATTTACCAAACCCGTACAGAGATTAATTACTGAAAATAACAGATAAAATATAGTGTTTTTTCTTAAGAAACGTTTGATAAAGATTTCGCATGTGAAATTTCGAAATTTTCTGATATATAAAAGTATTTTTAATGTTAAGATGAAAATTACTTTGCATGATAGATAGGCAAGATGTGAAAAGAAAAAGGCACGAGAAAACTTTCCTTTAAAGACCAAAGAAATAGATATTTTGTGTATGAAAGCATTGTAATGTTTATTGATAAACTGCCAAATGTCTTTAACATTCGCTTACTAATTTATAAGTTATAGCATGAAAACTATAACAAGCACAAAATGGTTACAAGGTCGGTGCCAAGGACCGAGCCCAGGTTGAAAGAGTTAATAGAATTTATTATAATGTCTAATGGATATACACTTATTTATTTTTTACACTTATGAATATTATTTTGCATTAGTAGCTTAGTATACAGATTTACAATTAACCGAAGCTGACTGTACCTCATGATATATTATTGGGATTATGGCCTAAAATATTAATAATACTGACGATGTTCAAATGATGAATCAATCCAATATAAACATTATAAGTTTTATAATGATTAGAATTAGCTACAATGTGTACTAAATTATGATTTAGTTCTGATCTTTTCTTTTACTGGAAGTTATGATAACATTAATGTTGGTTGAATTGACCCTGAATAAATTTTTCACCTTTGTTATTGTTGAAAGAAGTTAGCCTCAATAGAATTTCCACTAACGCTATTACTGACTTAACTGAGTCTCAACAACCTTTCCACCAACGTTATTGTTGACTATACTAAGCCCGAACAGGACTTCAACCAATGTTATTGCTAACATAACTGAGCCTCAACAGGATATCTACCAATTTTATTGCTGACTTAACTAAGTCTCAACAAGATTTAAAATAATGTCACTGCTGATTGTACAGAAGCCTAAAAGAAAAAAAGACTTTGACAACAAATATCCCTGGTTACTGTGCCATGTAAAAAAACACTTCCAATTTATCTTTTGTCCACCACTGGTTAAGTATTTTTACTTCTTTTCACAGGACATGTTTTAATCATTACAGACATACATGTCACAGATAACCTGCAAGAAATAACCATAAAGAAACACAAGTACATATGATAATGTGATTATCCTAAATCACAACTTTTGAGGTCTACAGAGGATGCAAGAAAAGTGTACTTAACTAACTTACTGGTTGCCAGATTAATTTTTAGTTTTGCTCCAAGTACATAGCCTACTCTGATCAGAATTAATTATTAGTTACCAAAGGTGAAAAGAGAGGTTTCATAATTACTTACTGATAGACATTGGCCTACTACAAAAAGATTATATCCACAAGATCCCAGTTACAAACCAAACAAGGCAAGAACTAACTCTAAAATTAAGAAACAAAATTCACATATACTTACAAACGACGAATTCCAGAGGGCTTTGTTGATGGATACAACTTTTCTTCTGGTTCTTTATTTATTGGCCCTTGCACTGGAAGTTCCTCAACTGGATCTACAACATCTGATCTAAAATTGATTACAAGTTATCTTTATCAATTTGTTAATATACTTCCCCTTTTTGTTACGATTATTTCAATGAGTTATGTTTTCCTTTATGCTTGAAATAAACACATCATTTTAGTAAAGTTTCACAACCAGCAAATTTTGTGGTTAACCAAAAAGATTTTCTTGGAATTTACTACAGATGTTTTTCATACATTACTCTTAGTTGGTTCATCGTGGACTTTGATTCAGAGGTATGAATAGCAACTCAAATTTAAGATTTTTACAGTATAAAGAAACTTACTGCAGTGGTGTAAAACACCTGGTTAGTGAATTAACAAAGTACTTCAGGCCAAACAAAAATGATTGAAAGCATACTTGATTGCAGAAATTTCTTTTTATTAGTCTAATAATAACTTGAAATCAAAAGTGTGTCAAAATAACCTTTTAGATCTACCTTTTATTCCCCACAAGTCACTACCCAGCTAGAAATTTCAAACAGCATTTCAGCTCTGATATGGAATGAAATGCTTCTTAGACAGTGACATGTGGCACAAAAAGGGAAAACTTGAAACGCTGTTTTTACAGACATTTTATTCAGAATTAATAACAAGTAATTAAGAAAAATGTGAGAAAAATATATCTGCAGTCAAGTGTGATTTTGAGAGCCTTACTGCTTCACCACCTAAACATTTTATACCACTGAACTAGGAATGTATCTGTCATTCATCATGTTTCTGTACATGATATAAAAGCTTTATATAGTCTTGTGTTTAATTTTTACAATGAAGAGATAGCAGAACAATGTTTACTGCCTGTTCCTTACTTTGATGGAGGTTGGGGTTTGTACAAAGTTAGCTCATCCTGAAGTTCACTTATCTTGGCTTTTAGGTCATTTCTCTCAAACATGATTCTTTTTAGCTCATCTACTGTAAATTGTGGCCTTTCAGGATCATCTAGGTCAATCACAAATTTTCTTTTTGAGTCTGGAACAAGTTCACTCTATTGAAAATAAAGTTTATGCATCTTATATTACTTAAGTGTGTTTGAAGATAAGTTTATTGTTTTAGTTCACCTTGTTAAAGATAGGTAAGTCATATTTCTTGTACTAGTGCCAGTAGAAGAGAAAGAGATAATCAATCTAAAGTTGCTTATTTTGTATCCTGCCCTGCTAAAATAAATTCACTTGAATGTAAACAATGTTTTTGCATCTTTTACTAGTTTATTTCACATTAAATAACAAAAGTATTGTACTTAACTATTAAGATGTCCTGTAAACTAATTTATATATATATCCAACCTACTTCAGCTTGTGCCAATTCTAAATTTTCTTTTACAGCCACTCCTAGTTGGCTACGTAACTGTTGAAGCTCGCTCTGATATTCTTCCAGCTGCACTTGTAGTTCCACCTTTTCCTCAACTATGGCTTTCATCTGACACTGTTGGTGCTTCTGTTTCCTTCGCAAGTCCTTGTTAAACTGCACTAGCTTCTGTAGCTGTAGCTGAAGCTGACAGAAAAACACATGTACAGAATATAACAATATTCAAGTGAAATTAATGAAAGCAACTGGGTGATGTTCCTAAAACTTGTTTCAGAAAATCACAATTAGTCTTGTCTGTAATGTGGACAAATGACCGAAAATTATATAAGCTTCAAAATAACGTTTTAAGTAGAAGTGAATTACAATCTCCACAAAATATTGTGATTATAATAAGAATCTCAAATTTTACAAATATGTCAGTGCAAGAACAACCATTTTCAGCAAATGATAACACTCAACAAAATATTTCAGTCAGTTTTTTACTATGCCTTTCCAAACCACTTTTAATCAAGTTGATTTTTGTTGTTGCTAACATGTACATCAAAATGGAGGTCTTATTAAACACTTATTATTTGTCACTTCTCTAGCTGTATTGTTCACCATTAGATCTCATAAAGTAGCACATTTTTTAATGTACATTTTATATAAATGTCTCCGTCAACATGCAATATTTTCTATAAAAATGTACCTTGATTTATAAATGAGAAACTAATGACTTTAAAAAGTTATTTCACAGATTTAAAGAAGTGACACCTAATAACTCAGAAAATATTATTTTGTTAAATTCTGCTATATTGAATATAATACTTGAAAAAGTTTGAAAATAAAATTTACAATTCTAGTTAACAAATTCGTATATTTTGCCAAATTTTATGGTTTATTAGAAATTTCCACTAAATATTTTTCTACTGCTTATAAGTAATATGATTGTTTTAATCATGTTCTAAATCCAGCAGAAAATTTTAAATCAACTGTATAAAAAGGATGTAGGAGGGGGCAAACGTTAACATTTTCCTTTATCTGAAAATGTATTTCAAATAGATACTTATCACTCCATAAACATTTTTGTGTATGCACCAACCTACAGCGTAATTCTCATTAGACTATAGCCTTCCAGCAACAGGAGAGACATCCTCTATGTACAGTAAACCCCATGAGCACTAGCATCTCAACAAAAGCTCATTTTTGACAAAGCAAAAGAAACACACCAGAAGTAGGGAAGAAGTGTGAGAGGTTGCGTGAAGTGAGGATTTATTTTGAATACATTTTTAGGTAAGGAAATGTTAGCTTCAATAACATTATTCATCTCGCCACAGAACTGAAAGCTATAATCCCACACTGATTAGACGGTGGAGGGGACTAGTGTTGATAAAGAAATTGAAAAGATGAATTACTCTCTGAAATTATAGCATCAGTAAGGAAAACTCGTGAAGTGTGTCATCCATTTGGAGTTAATGGGGCATCACTTGATTGCAAACAACATCCTTCTCAGGCACGGTTCATTGTGTAATGTAATGGCCGGTACTACACTTCCAGGTAACACACCAGCCCTACTTCTGATTGAAGAGTGTGTCCATTCAGTCTTATACCAGTGGGATTGCATTAACCCAAAAGGGGGGAACTCTCTCTATATAAATCTCACCAGCAGCTTAGAAATGAGGAAGCAAGGATCCTCCCATTAATCCACTAGAAGAAAAAGGGGAGAGAAATTTGTGTATGGGAGAACACTGGAAAGGAATGTAGACTGAATGTGAATTTTCTATCATCTGCAAATGGTCCACAATATTATTGTGCAATGGTTTACCAAGATAAAGGACAGCGTGCTAGCCAGGTGTGAAGGCAGGATCAAAGCTGGAGCTGCTATTTTTCCCCCTGAAATACTGTCTGAAAGGTAATACATAAAGAGAGAGAAGCTGAAACAGACTTGTGGAAAAATTCCATCTCAACAGTAGGCACTGAGCAGGGGTGGATGGGTTCAACATTTGTAGCTATCCTCCACTCAATGTGGATTTTAAGAGAAGGAGAGATAGGGAAGTATTCCCTGTGAAGTAACACTGGCTAAGTAATATATTCAAATGTGGTTGTGGGACCTGCAGAAAGAGAAAAATTAGCAACTCACCTTCTTAAATCCTCTGAGAAAACTGAAGAATAACAATTGGAAAGAACTGAAAACCAGAGGTAGATGAAACTGCAATGTGGTGTAAATAATATGCTACCAATGTGTGTTTGGGGAGGGGGTATTCACATCCCCATCTTCAAGATCTTATCTAATGGATATCATTGGGTAGATGCAAGAGAAGCCATGAGATGGAAGGAGATTTGATAAAGGTAAAATGGCATTCCCCAGGGAAGAATATAGTACTTGGATAAATTGATTAACCCACAGTCAAAGTGGAAGGAGATGAGTCATGTGAGGAAGAGGAATTCCACAGCAAAAAAACATGTCACTGATTACCTCAAAAACAATAGCACAAGCAAGGTAACAAGGAACTACTCTTAGAGGACAAAGAAAATGTTTGTGAGCTGAATGATAATACAGGGAAAAAGTTAAGGGAGTGAATGGAGGAAGTATCCAATCACTTTTGAGCAGGAAAGAGTGGATGGAGAATGATATTAACCTCTTCCTAGTAAAAAGTGAAGGAGGCATCCAAGGTCAGTATGGCATCTACCAGAAGCTTGAATAAAAAAATATCTTAAGGGAAAGATGGAACAGGAAACAGGTGGCCAACAGTTGGAATGAGGGACATGTACCAGAATTCCATAGTTTGATTATGAGGAAAAATCAAATCATTATAATTCAAATCAAAGTTCTAACTGGAATTCGATGACGAGGAACCCACTTTGAGACTAATAATGGCTGGAGACGGCTTAAATGGGTAATGAAAAAAACTTTAATATAAGTTTAACATGACAGCAAATGTACAACGTTTCGACACGGTTTGATGACAAAACCTTGTCGAAACGTTGTACATTTGCTGTCATGTTAAACTTATATTAAAGTTTTTTTCATTACCCATTTAAGCCGTCTCCAGCCATTATTCTAACTGGAATGTTCAAAATTTTATATATTTCCTTTTCATAATCCAGAAAAGAAAGACTACACTATAAATGGTAATGAAAATTTAGTATAATAAATGGAAAAGTCCATAATTCTCAATGAAAAAATGTGTATAAACAAAATAGAGTTAAGGAAAAGAAAAAGTCTTTGTTGAATTGCTAGTGTTCATGGAATTTACAGTGTATGGAGGATATGTTGCTCTTCCACTGATGGAGGGCTATAATCCCATGATGATTACATCACAAGCTGGAGCAGTATGTGTTAATACATGTGGTAGTGGGAGTTTTGTTCAAGGTTTGTTGTGTGTTTAAAAGATTTTTTTAGGTAGTGGCACCAGGTAATAGCTATCTATTCTGTAGAAAGGTGAATAGTATTTCTGAAACAAATGATTTGTGTATAATCAGGTAATAGTCATTTATGCTGTATTCAAACTTTGAAGTAACAGTTCACATTTGTCAAACTAGTGAGCAAATCTAGAAATTGTTGACAAATAGTTTTTACAAATTGCAGCTTTTGACCAGTTTATTTTCAGTTAAAAATGCCAATCAGTTGTTTTTAATGAAATAATTTTAAACTGAAGCATTTGTTTACAATGAACAAATGATAGGTGTTAAAATGTTTTATGATAAAATTAAAACTTTAGAAAATGGCTTATGATGAACCTTAGTTTACATCTTTAAAAACTTAGGTGGAATTGATTTGTATACATACATATATATATTTTTTATAATATCATGTAGAGTACCAGTATAGAATAGGAATATATTCATAAAATGTGGAGCATTTAACCATATAGTTTTCTTTCAGTTGTGTTTAAGACAATAAAAAAAGCAAGTTGTGTGAGTAAACAGTTCATGTCATTTCACATTTTTTGCTAGGCTTGACGAAAGTGTCTTAATGAAATATACCATATAAATGAATAAGAAGTGTTATAACTCACTGGTTTCAATTTAAAAAGTTATATTTTTCATAACAAAAGTCTTTATTATTGCAGCTTTCATAGAATAATAAGATTTATTTTTGTTTTTCTGGACTATTCAAATTTCATATGCCAGGGTTTTGAAAATTTAACATTTTCAGCATTTATACCACTATTTGTGCTCTCTAGGCATCTGAATATGATAGCGAACAACCTAAGTTTAATGAAAGTATGTAACTTGAGAAAAATATAAGCCTGAAACATACTAATGAAATATATGTAATGTTTTGTGCAGCTTTATAGATAAACTCAGTACTTTACAGTATTTTAACATAAAAAAGGCAAAATACATCAGTTATACAAGATAATGTTAGGTTTAACATACATGATATACAGAGCTAAAGTTGCAATCCCACCCTTATGTACTTGTGTTTGCTCTCAGCTAAGTACTTTATCTTGTATCAGTGATCATTTTGATAGATATTTTATCTTTGCAATTGTTTAACTGATAACAAATGTAAGACTATCTCCATTTCTATTCAAAGTCTATAATGTTTAACCTGTTATGCACAAGAAAAAAATAGCTAAACAATTTTTGTTTTTGAATTCATTCTTATAATTAACTGTCAAATCATTAACGTTTGTCTGAATAAAATAAAATTGATATCTTAAACTTTGTCTGTAAGATACACATTTCAGTTGATCTCTCATAAATATATATATATATGTTTTCACAGAAATTATTCTTTAAAAATTGAGCACACAAACACAAAATTATTTATAAAATTTAATTTTCTCTGACTCCAAAGCTATCAGTACTTTTATCTCAAACTTATTTTGTAACAGAATTATTTCTATGACACTGATGTCCTGTATTTCTGCATTTTCACAGTTCTTAGTAACAATGCTTTTAATAAAAAAGTAGTTCTGTTAACTGTATCAAATTACACCTACAAGTGCATGGCATAGTTCTAATAATTATATATATAATAGTTCTAGTAATTGTACTTAAATGCATCTACAAAGTGCCGGAATAGAAACAAAATGCATGAAACAGCAGTATTGAATATGAAGAAAAAAAATGCAATATATAATTACTAAATACGACAGATCTTCTCAGGTACTAATTGCATTGGAATAATAACAGAGTACTTACAACATTAGTATCAACATATTGTACTTAAGCATGAACAAAAAAAAACATGATACTTACAGTGCCAATATGACAGCAAGGTGCTTACATCATTACTAACAAAAAAGTGTACTTAAAAAGTCAATACAGGGTGTTTACTGCATCATTACAACTAACTTTAAGCATTATGCATGTATATCACAAAAAGAAAACTTCAACACCAGTACCAAAACAAAAGTACTATTGTGGGTACATTAAAATATTTCTATAACAAGAGATTACTTAACAAGATTGGTGGGTAATTAGAAATATCCATATAGCAACAGAGAAATTAACACTAGATGTACTTCCACATGGTTCCCAAAAGTGTCCCGTTTCAAGAGTAAATAAAAATAAAATTACAGTAAAAAATATTTTTATTTATTACTTTTGAAGTTCATGTGTCATGCTGTGTTGTAGCCTACAGAGTGTATAATTTTTCTCATAATTCATGACATGCACACCTTTTACTGATGTCACAACAATACAAATTGCAACATTAAGTGTCTACTGACTGACTGACAGACAACACACTACTGTATAATGGTGCAAGTTTGACCACCTTTCGGGGAAATAATCAATGGTTAACTTGAACCATGTATACCAATATTTAACACAATCAGCACTACTTTGAATTACTTACCACTTCTACATCATTACATTTCTGATGAAGTTCTTGGTCTTTTTGTTCTATTTGTTCTCTTTGTCTATCTACAATTTCTTTCAATTTCTGTGCAATCTTTAGTTCCTGTTCTGATACACAGCCTAAAAGATACAGACACATTCTGTGTAATGAAATGTTTACAAGTTTTAACAGAAATCTTGACACAATACATTAAAGGTCTCAACCTTAACTTCTGAAGATACTAGCAAACGGTTGCTAATTTTTCCCACAAGCAAATTTGCAACTGCTACTATCAATAACTTTAATCTTCTTGGAAATTAACTATACACCTGGGTCAGATAAAATTATTAAATGTAATAAAAGTTAATAAGTATAATAAATATGTATTTACATACTAATTATATGTATAAATCTTCAGCATCATCTTAACTGGATGTAACACTGGTTTTATTAAAACTATTTCACAAAAGTTAAAAGATACTTCTTGATTTGGGTGGAAACTGGTGTACTTAGGTCATTAGTGTCTACAGTATTTCATTGCTGATGACCACCCTACACTAATATAAGAGAGAATCCTCAATAGCCACAGCATTTGAATTTTTTTTAGGCAGGATTAGAGTAAATTAATCTAGAAGACCTTTATTTTCCTTTTTATTAGGCATATTTTTGTGTTCCAGCAATACCAACAGTGGGGTTCACATATACCAAATTCAATTTTATTACTCATCAGGATCTCTACCAGCCTACCCTCAAATTGAAATTCTTTCAGGCAGGATTAGAGTAAATTAATCTATAAGACCTTGGGCATCGTGAATACATCAATCGAAAGTGTTTGACCTCCTGAATCCAAAACTGTAATTAGATCTCAACTTGGTCAAGAGATGACAGAGCTATGAGCTAAAAGTTTGCACTTGAAAAAAAAAAAGGGGGGGGGGGGCAGAACAAAACAAAACTCAGAGCCATTCTATGAGCCACTATGCCATGGCTAAAAGTGTATCTTATTATTGAAAGTTATGGTTTAAATGCCAAAAGCTGGGAAGACATTAGAAGCCAATAGGCCTAACACTTGTGTTAATCATGAACAAATTAAAAGAAATGCAGAAAATAAGTTCACATGATTTCTATTTTGTACTTACTTCCAGCAAGCAGCCACTTGGGCACAGTACTTCTAATCATGCTACCAGCTATACTGCATTGCAGATGCCAGATGATGTACGTCTAGTAGGCTGGCCAATGTGCTAAGTGCCTTGGCAACCAATCAAACACATTGAAGCTATGGTTTTACTATCTTCATTTCCTGAAACTTAGTCTGGATACCATGTCATTAAAATGGGATTACAAAACTGACATAGCGCTGGCAAGTGAAACAACCTCTTTAATCACAATTATAGTAAACTTCTGTACTCAGAATATTACAATATTTAAATATCTGAACTGTATGCAATATGGGTGTATTGGCACTTGACAGTAAGAATCTGTAAACTTTCTTTCTGAAATGTACAACAATTTTTCTAGTAATTTCTAAGCTTTACTAACAAAACTGTTTTACTAACTATCAATTTCCTAGTGTTAATTTTGAGCTTTGCATAAGCCGATTTAATTTGTACTGTATAATTATAATACATAGTTGGTGTATATCCAATGTGATCAACTTAGGTTTCTTAAGTAGCATAATAAGTATGTAAAATATGTAATACATGTACTTTAGGGTTAACATGTAGCTGAGAATTACATACACTGCATTAAAGTTAAGATCTCTCTCTCTCTCTCTTTATAATCTATGTAGACAGCTTTCTTTACATACCACAAAAACAAATTAAATGTTAAATATAAAGTTACCAAGTCTTATGTATAAGCAACCTAAAGCAGGAGATGATTTATGTAACAACAATTAATATTTTTACTAGTATCAAACATACTGTTGGTATAAACGTGTTTGTATTCACAATGAGAAATACCTATACACAGGATAGAAAAAGTGTGAAGAAAAAGTGTCATTGGCCACTATTCAGTTCTTCACATTATATAGCCACACAATAGCATGTATAATAAATAAACTTAGTATTCTGAAAAATTGTTTAATCTTGTTGTCCAAGTTCAAAGAGAGTCCAGTTCAATCTACACTTTGATCAACACGTTTTATTGGGTTATACTAATTTCTGAGAATTCCACTCCTCATCAGTAACCCTGAAAACAAGTTAACAAAAGAGAGATAAGCTGTATAGGTATTTCTAATAGAGAATACAAAGCATGTTTATCAACAATATGTTTGTTGCATTTCGCTATCATATAGGTCCATGACAAAAACTTTCCAACTTTCTGACCTTTCAGGGTTCTTGGGTATGCCACAGAGAGATTCTAATACCATTGACTTCATTAACTTTTTATTAACAAATATTTCAGTTTTCCCCTTTGCTACTGCCAGTATATGATGCACTAACACACCATCCCCATAAGGATAAAGAAATAAATGCCCTTTGCAGCATGGGTGTCTTTGATAGCTTTTATTAAATGATCATTGTTAGTTACAATCATGTTAACAGGTGACATGTTAGCAGCATGAGTGTCTTTGATAGTTTTTATTAAATGATCATTGTTAGTTACAATCATGTTAACAGGTGACATGTTAGCAGCATGAGTGTCTTTGATAGTTTTTATTAAATGATCATTGTTAGTTACAATCATGTTAACAGGTGACAATTCATTTACTAGTGTGATGATTTACATGTAATTTTTATTAAGCAATCCCTATTGGTCAAAATAAAGTTGACAACTGACAATTCTTTTTTTCATTTGCACTGGTTAAAATATTTGTTTGTTTGTTTGTTGATAAGCATAAAGCTATCAATGAGTTATCTGTACCGTAACCATCACTAATATTGCAACCTGATGTTTAACATGATAAGACCTCATACTTACCACTATGCCACCAAGTGGCATGTAAAGGTTATAAATAATCTCTATTAAATAGCCAAAGTTAATAAACTACAATTCTTTTTCTCATAATGTGATATTTTATAACTAAACTTTACTAGACAGTCCATGCTAATTAAAGTCAGGCTAACATTGTCACTTAAAACTGACAGAGTATTTTTTAGGAAAATATACAATGTGCATGTCCTCCATTTAAATTTTTGTTATACATTATACTGCTCTGCATTAGAAATGCAGAACTTTGTTGTTTTTTATTGTCACTTTTTAATTTATTTCGTCTTTTATATAAAAAATGCTTAAAACTTGAATTAGTTTCTTAAAATATGAAATTTGAACACATTTTAGGCTTAATAAAACACTGTGGTTATAATTTAACATTTCTAAAACTTAAGATGAAAAAAAATTATTCTTAAGCTCCATATTTAAAATTACACTTAAAACTATAACACAGAAGTTTATTGATAAAGAGCTAAACAAAAAATAAAATGGTGCAATCATAAATTCACACAAAACAAGTAACATACAATTATTTTTTTCTTACTTGATGACTTTTCAGAAAGGGAATTTTCTTTTTCTTTTAGTGAACTGCACAGTCGCAAATTTTCTTCCTTTAGCTCTGTCACAAGTTCACTTAGCTTGTTGGTTTCTTCTCTCCAGATATCTTCTATTTGTTCAAGTTCCTACAAATACAAAACTTTTTCCAACTTCTAGAACCACAATAAGCTACTTAAATTTCTTAGTAATGCAACAGACTTACTAAGTTCATATGTGTGCAATAACTTCAAGTTTCAATAAATACAACAAAACTATCTAAAATCATACAAACATAGTCTACTCATCCAAGTTTTTCCAAACATAACCAATTTGTTCAACTTTCCACAAGTATAAAAAATTTCTACAACCACAACTTGTCATAATTACATGCAAGTCTCTGAGAAATGTTACTTTGTAGAACGTTCATCAATTCAACTTTTCTACTTCATTCAATTACTTGTTTTTGTATATGCAAGTTACTGGTTCTTTTGGTTGATTAACTGACATACTTAAGTGGAAGGAAAACACATTAACCTTAATGTGGTTACAACTGAAATGACAGGACATTGAGCTATTTTCTATATTGCCTTTACAAGAATTTAATAATTTCTAGTAATGTGTGGAGCATGCTCATATACTACCTCCAGCAGGTTACCGACATTTCTATGAAAATGATTTACCAAACTGTTGCTGAACAGGTTCTAACTGAAAAAACTGTTTTCCTAATCATTCATTTCCTGAAGTATATCTACTACTTTACAGATTTTTAATCATTCATAAACAACAAAGCTAACACAACTTATGTTGTTGTCACCTGTTTTCCCTGTCAAGTTTAGAGTTCCTAAAAATGATAAACAAATTAGAATAGCTGCTACATGGAACTAATACAATTAAGTAATCTGAAAAATGTAACAACATTTGAATATTTAAGTTTATAAATATAATACATGCAAATTATATTCTTTGCGCACAATATTTGATTGCTTTTTCTTACCTTTTCTTTCATATTCATAATTACTACATCAATCACTTGTTAATTCTTAAACCTTTCTCTTCATCTCCAGAAAGAAAAGATAAGGTATAGATGGAAATTGTACCAAAGCAGTAAGTCAAAACATTTGGATCACTAAATATTTAAAGAGTTACATATATCATTTCTTATCACTTTTTCAAATAGTTTTCTCAATAATTCTTTCAGAATTTTGGTTGCATACATATATTCACACAAGACAGTGGAACTTTGTTAAACCCATTGATGTAAAGCTTTAGAGAAAACAGTCTCTTTCTGGTTATCCAAAAACTACTTAACTATTGGAACATCAAATCTGAAAACAAACTCATTTGGTAAACAAAGACTGTTTTTATTTCATGTTACAAATCATGTGAAATCTTTATTTCTTAGCTTAAAATTCAGTCAGTTTAGTTAAATTCAGTATCACCTCATGAATTATCCTGCCAATAATCCCATTATACAGCAAACCTACCTAATACTCTTTGCAGAAATCTGTTTAACCTGAGAATACCACAATGTATTGCCAACAATCTTTAGAATGGTTTTCATCAGGAGTTCTCAAAATGTAGGTTGTGACCCACCCACTGGAAGGGGCGCAGAAAGCTCAAAAAGGGTCACAAAGGATTGGGAAGATGCAATTCATCCATCATACTGTATGGTAATTTACTATGTTGCATCGGTTGTTGTCATATTTTTTTAAATTAAAAATAAGTAAAATACTAAAAGAATCTTAGTCTATTAACAAATGCTTTACATTCATATTCTTTAGCAAACACTGAAAACAAACTACAAACCTTTATCACCAGAATGTTTTTTGTACTATAAAGGTTTTGTGAATGAGTGATTTAAAGTCATGGAGCAGTTTCAAAATCAAATGTATGTGTAGAATCATTATTATACCAGAATTGTTTTTTCATTGGTAATTATCCTCTGTTAATTTTTTGCAAAGTCCATCAAAGGTGGACTTTCACTGAAAGACTTTGAGGATCCCATCCCTGATCTACATTACATGTAAATGAAGTAACTAGATGTAAAATTAATCTTTCCACTTTCACTGACATTTTTCCCAAATAAAAGCATCCTAAAATAATAAAAAAAATTCAAAATTGCAATGACGTTTCATACTAATTCAAGAGTTTAAAATCTTCTAGATTTTTTCAACTGAGACAATTAACATTATATTATTAAAATTAGAAATGCTGAAACCAAAAATTAGATGAAGACAAACTTTGGACATGAAAGTACAATAGCTAATTAGCTCCATTCATACTTGGAAACATAACAGTAGGGTTATTACGTCATCAAAGTTTTGCGCGTATATCGTAACACAGTAAAAATAAACCATTTCGCAGCTAGACTTCGGGAGAGTTGCAAAAAGGTAGTGTTTTTATGTGTTGAATGAAGTCAATTTATCATTCAATTTCAGCATCATTTTTTATATCGGTTTGTGAATAACCTTGTAATGATATCGTTCTTGCATGAAACGTTTATTGTATATTTACAAACAGTTCGGCTAATGTGATTTAAGGTCACCGTGATTTACTATTACTTTCCACCGATAACAGCGAACTTAATGAAATTAGTTCGCAATTTAAGTAAACAAGTTATTTACAGAAAAATTGGGGATGGAGGGTAAAACAAATCTTCAATAACTTTTTTCCCTTATGTTTGAAACGCATAAAATGAAAATAGATAAATCTTGCTAATTATGTTCTATTCGAGTTTATATCTTCTCTGTAGTTTCATGAATATTAATATATTATGGGTCAATTTAGTTTTAAAATATTTACGATAATTTTCTATGTCGGCAGTCAAAGTAAATAACTTAAAACAATGACTTGTAATCTTAAAAAAATTGGTTTTGTGAATGCCTGTCACGTATTTATTTTTTTCTATTCTTTCGATACGCTTTAAGGCCCATAAACACAGTGCTCTACTATGTTAAGGTATACATCTAATGAGGGTAGAACGTGCATACAGGCCTGTGCGAAAGCGATTAAACTGATAAGCACAAGCGGCAAGTACACTTGTATTGCCAACATCTGTGACAATAATCTCATTCAAAGAAAAAAAAGAAACTATATTTTTTATAAATATATCGAGATCTGAAGCCTGAAGGACATACACACATATTCTCACCCGTGATTTTATGAAAAAGGCAACGGCCCATCCGCAGACAAAAAGGGTTAGGTAGCACAATAATCCACACATAGCCAACCTTGCTTCATCTCCAAATCTAGCTGGCTCCAGGTACGACTATTCGCAGATATGCCCCTTGCAGGCAGAACAGGTGGTAAGCCTACCCGATCACTTCCTACACGTGCATATCTTAAAGCTGTTACACTTGGCCGGTTTAACGGTCAAAACGAACAGCATATGCACGACGTCAAGAATGTACTAATAATTGGATCATAAAATTGTTTGATATTCGTCACTATAATGACGTACTTTCAAAATCTAACGATCAGTTGGCTAAACTGCCCCATTAAACAGACAATGATATTAAGTTATTGCTGCGTATCTGCTCGTTTGTTAATTTCCGGTATAAATTATTTCCGAGGAACTTCAGTGATACAAGTCCTTTCTTAATT